GAGGAAACATGTCAACAACTTTTCCATCGATCAGTCCCAGCTCAACACCCCGCAACTCCGCAATTTATTCAATGAGGCGATCACGGTCAACTCGACCGCTTTCCAGGATGTGGACCCTGTCACTGGCGAGATCATTTTCATTGGTAGCAAGACCGAAACCGCTTTGCTCAAGTTCACGCGCGATCTTGGTTGGCCAGATTTCAAGAAGACTCGTGATGCGGCCGAAATTATCCAGATGATTCCCTTCTCCAGTGACCGCAAGGCCATGGGTGTCGTCGTTCGCTTGCCCAATGGCCGCTATCGTATCTACTTGAAGGGTGCCAGCGAAATTCTTTCCAGGAAGTGCACTCGCCATGTCGTTGTTCACAAGAACGGTGACAGCGCTCACGGAGAAAACATTGAAACCAGGCCCATCGATCCTCTTGCAGAAGACAACATTAGCCGCACTATCATCTTCTATGCGAACCAGATGCTTCGTACGATCGCTATCTGCTACCGTGACTTGGATTCCTGGCCCCCACGTAACGCGAGAATCAATGATGCTGACGAGGTCCGTAATTTTCCGCTTTTTCTTGCCCTCATAATCATCTGACCCACAACGAATTTATAGGTTGAGTACGAGGATCTCGCACAGAATCTTACACTCATCGGTATCACTGGTATTGAAGACCCCCTCCGCCCTGGTGTTCGTGAAGCCGTCGCGAAGTGCGCTAAAGCTGGTGTCAGCATCAAGATGTGCACAGGTGATAACGTGCTCACTGCGCGTTCCATCGCCCAGCAATGTGGTATTTTTACACCAGGCGGTATAATAATGGAAGGACCATATTTCCGACAACTTTCCCAATCCGACATGATCGCCATTGTTCCCCGACTTCAAGTTTTGGCCCGATCTTCTCCGGAGGACAAGAAAATTTTGGTCGAGACTCTCAAGGCTATCGGCGAGGTTGTCGGAGTTACTGGTGACGGCACCAACGACGGCCCGGCTCTCAAGACAGCGAATGTTGGTTTCTCGATGGGTATTGCCGGAACTGAGGTTGCAAAGGAGGCGTCGGACATTATCCTCATGGATGATAACTTCGCATCTATTGTGAAAGCCATCATTTGGGGACGATGCGTCAACGACTCGGTTCGCAAATTTTTGCAATTCCAAATTTCGACCAACGTCACCGCTGTCGTCATCACATTCGTCACTGCCGTCGCTTCGGTGGAAGAGTCCTCTGTCCTTACTGCTGTGCAACTCCTCTGGATTAACATCATCATGGACACGTTCGCGGCTCTAGCACTTGCTACCGATCCTGCAACCGAAGCTCTTTTGGACCGCAAACCTGACAAGAAGACGGCGCCCCTGTTCACCGTTAACATGTACAAGATGATCCTGATCCAGTCCATTTATCAGATCATCATTATCCTCATTTTCCATTTCCTTGGACTTCAAATTTTGGGTCTTCACCACATTGGAATCGCTACGGTTGACAAGAATACGGATCGGATCGTTCAAACCCTGGTCTTCAACACTTTCGTCTTTGCACAAATCTTTAACTCGGTAAATTGTCGTCGCTTGGATCGCAACCTCAACATCTTCGAGGGGATTCACAGGAATTGGTATTTCATCATTATCACTCTACTTGGTATGTCCTTTTATTTCGATTGATGTCGGGACTTAGCTCATGCATACCTTCTTTGCAGAAATCGCTGTTCAAATTGTTATCGTCTTCATTGGAGGCGCCGCTTTCCAGGTTACTCACGTCGGCGGCCGCGAATGGGGTATCTCGCTTGCTCTCGGTTTTGTTTCTATTCCTCTTGGTGTTCTTGTCCGTCTCCTTCCCAACGCACCATTCGAGAAGCTCTTCACTGCTCTTGGCCTCCTTGGCAGTGGTGACCCCATTCTCCCGACCGAAAACCCGTCTTCCGAAGGGTGGTTCGGTGCCGTCAACATGGTTAACGACAGCCTCCAGACATACTCGAAGCTGCGTGGTGGTCGTCTACGGTCTACATCGATTGTGTCAAAGGCCCGTCTTTCGAAGCCGAAGAAAAACGATCAATCATCAATACCAGTGTAAGTAGCCTTGTCATTTGATATTTTGATTCGCTTGAGATCGCTAATACCCCTTTTCCGACAGTACATCAATGTTCGCCATGGTGCCGACGATGCTCATGGGTACTTTTATCAAACCAGAAGAATATAACAAACAGGGGCTATCCGATCCTACACGAGCGGATCCCTCCGTTTCATCAACTGCACTATGGGCTGGAAGAGTCCAGTTCCATCCTGATACGCCTCATGACGATCCAGCATTTATCAAGTTTGGCAATCCATAGCACTTTAGACTCATGTCCATACCATGTCTTCATCATACCTATCCCTTCCATGTTCTTATTCACGCTGTTAACGCTTTCCAGGCTTCTCTGCACGATAAATTACGCGGTCTTGGCATTGCTTATTGGGATTTTGGGATCCACTATTAAATCGCTAATAATCAACCTATGTATCCAACTTAGAGTATCCCACATACAAACACAATTTAAGTGATTTCTATGAAGGTTGTGAGTGCGCGATTTTCCACCATTTGTTGGAATTCTAACAGATTGTTTCCAGCGTACTTGGTTGGATTTGAGCGCTTCATTTCGAATACTATGCCTTGTTTCGGTAACTTCCTTTCCTTTTTGAAGAGATGACGCATCTTCCTGGGTATTCGGAACCCTAGAGGAATCAATACTTTCATGACAGTTGGAATGTCGCTGCCAAATAGCGCTCAAACCGCAAATCCTGCCCAATCCGGACAGGTCGAGATCAGGCGCCCAAGTAAGGGTATGGGTGTATATGGGCGCCAAGTACGATACTGCAAGTTTCGAACCGCGTATTCCTGTCCACATCTTTTAAACTCAGAGTAAGTTTCGTTTTTACATTCTTCAACATTTTGGTCTGGAAAAAAGAGGTGGGTCTTCAAGCCGGGAAATGCGGCAAAGGTGCGTTCAAGTTCATCCCCCTCCATAACTTGAGAATGAATTCACCACAGCTTGACTTCGTCTGACAGCACCGTGACGGTGGCAAAGTCAAGTAGTCTACAGGACTGTCGCACTGCTCGCGACCGAGTTTACGGTACGGTTTCCAGCGATGTGCGATACTAGGACTACAACTCATGACATGCTGCTGGCGCTCCGCTGTCAGACAAGCAACACAATAAACAACTCACAATAGTTTCACAATACATAGAAGAGGAAACTTCAATGGTACGTACCAGGCCCGAATCCGCAGGGAGAAATGATTTTCCGATTAGAACCTAGTGGACTTTCGAAGGTGATCTCACCGAGGCTGTGCGTTGCGTGCCCTAATACCAACAATCTCCTCTCCGAAAGGTTTCTCAAGCCCACCATGCAGCTGCCTGCTGGCACTCAAGTTCCTAACTAGTAGTGTCCTTGGGTCAGGCGACCCATCTGATGTTGAACTCTCTTTGGCGGGCTGCCCTCGAGTGCAGTGCGCCTCTGCATATGGCCACCCCAGGACAACATCAATGGCCTTGAATTTGTCAAGTGAGTCATGCTATCTCACGTTTTGACCAAGGGAATCCGTGAAAGAACCCTTGAATTGCATCCTTTCCTCATTTGACTACTATGATAGGTAGAATATTCGAAACTGTCCGATCTTCAATCACTTCCAGTGTAAGTGCTTTGCGGCATTCGTGAACCGTGCTTCAGCCCCTGGCCCTGCATTTGGAGGGGAATATTCCCCCGCAATCCAGTTCATTTGTTCCGTGAATATTAACCCCCAGCGTCACTGTTTTAAGGGTTAGTCTTGGGTGAATGGAGAGCCCCTGGGTGGCGACGGTCGCGGGGTGTTCATCAACGTGTTGAAACTCGTAAGACGGTACGTGTCGCAGTTACCAAGTGAGGGGACTAAAATCCTATTGCCAGGACATCTCCAAGGTGCACTTCGACGCGTCGATTGCCAGCATCTTCCTGGATAAGATAAGAATATCAGGGCTGTGCTCCATATCAGATATTCGGGCACGTTTACTCGGCATTGTGTCGACGTCAAAACCAAGGTCGACTATGGCGGATAGGCCGCCTGTGGTGCGGTAAGTCAAAGTTAAATCTGTTCCTCGTCACAACATCCGTTACAAAAGCGACACACGGAGACCTTCAGTGCAGTCTTTCACCAAAACATACACCCCCGCAATTCTGTCACCCGAATGCATGGTTCCCCTTGACTTCCGCGGTAGTCACCAAATCACCGCGAGAAGATTCGCACAAAGTCCCCCCATTGTCCAGGGTTCATTTCAATTTGTGCTTACTGTAACCGTCTGGAGAGATCACCTACGCAGAACTATGTTTGCAATAAATAAATCATGAGGCTTCAAAGTGCTGCGCACCATGTAATTTGCTCTGTAACTGTCGGGCAATGATGGGAAACAAAAAGGGGCCGCACTGGGAATCGAACCCAGGTCACTTGCA